TCAGTGTTCAAAGGAAAGACATTTCTCAAATGGAGTACTTCTTTTTTCATCTCTTATTCACAAACTTCCCAAAGGGCTTTATATTAAGGTGTTTCAGGAGGCTGGGATGTGATTTCCTTTTTAACTCTGTTGATGTTCTCCCACGACTTCCCAGGTGTTTTTGCTGCCTTCACCAAATTTAAAACAAACAATTTCCTAATATGTTGATCATGTGTTGTATTAGAAGCCTTTGTAAGGCCTGTAGAGGGAAATCAAATCGTGTGTGCCACTTGAATTCTAAAATACATTCACTTAGTACTAAGGGCAGGTTTAATGGGAGCATGTACGGAACATTAAACGTATATGTAAACTTTTGCCTTGCTTGGAAACTGACCAAGGAATAAAATCAGTTTCTAGATTGCTTTGATGCCTCTGCAAAAGCATTTGCAGTTTTGTATTTGCTGTATGTCTCCAACTGATAACCAGCACTAATGAAGTGGCTTTTTAAACAGTTTTATTGAAATTCTTTGTGCAACTACAGCGCAAACTTTCTTGCAAAAGCAATCATTTACAGTGCATAGCTGGTAAACCAAGGCATTACCGTTCATTCTCCAGTACCCCAATAGCTATTGCTCAGTTCTCACCACTGTAGCTCCTAGTGTTTATTCCTCGACTCCAGTAGACCTGCAGGTTTTTGCTGCTCATAGCACTGAGGTGTAGGAATTCTCTGGAAGAACCACTCATCCTTTTTTTTTGTTGTTTGTTTGGGTTTTTTTAATCTCTTTTACTGTCAGTCTGTGGGACCACAGTCCTGTTCCCCTCTGAATCATAAAAGGCTTTTAAAGGACCGTAAGGTGCATTGGAGGTAGGAAGAATTACATGCATCCCTTTTTTAGATTCCTTTGCAAAGGCTTCATTGCAAGAGACAGTGCAAGACCCTATTAAGTCTCTTTGCACACAAAGTCTTTTAATGATAATATAATGGAGGGACTCTTTCTGTCACAACCATTACAAAAAATTTCTGTTCTCTCTCCTTCAGCTGGGCTTGCCTTTGCCGGGGAAGACAGTCTCATTACTCCAAAACTGTCATGGTTAGTTTTTGGCTTGGTAGAAAACTGTTATTGGGTGAGATATGAGACCTCTGTGCTGTGTGAGCGCTGGGAGGAAACAGGGTGCGTCCCCCACTGCAGCCTCGGGGCAGCCAGGAATGCTTGGGGAGAGTTTTTTTTTATTTCCTATCAGTGTGCAGGTGGGCCTCAATTTCTTTCACCTCTTACGGAAACTTTCACTGACTCTCCTACTGAACTTTAGTTACAGTGTATGATTTGGGTTTTTTTCGTTTTATTACTAAGCTCAGTAGAACAGAGCAGGTGACAGGTATTCATTAATAAGCCATGCTCCTTAGCTGCTTAGCTCCAAAAGGAGCACTTTTGCATTGACTTGTGTGGGTGTCTCATGGATCTTAGGGGCAAGCCAGGTTCGGTTTCAGAGATGCAGATGGCAGGTGTGTTTGAGGCAGGCTGCGGTACCCAGCATTTCAGCTTCAGGAGACAGAGCTCCCCAGGCCGAGGGCAGATTGCATAGCATGCTCCCATCCTGCTGCAAGACCTGGGCATCCACAGACCTGTCTGGGCTTGCCAGTGCAGGGTGCTGACCAGATAAACTGTCCAGATGAACTACACATAGGCCACTGACTGTGAACCGAGCATCCCCCATGCAAGGTAACATGGGGCTTGGAGATGTGGCCTAGTACACAACAAAGTCACTGCTTTGCACAGCTTAAAAACCTGGATTGTTTCAGTCTTTCAGCTCTCATGGAGGGTCTTACATTCAAAGCACTAATGATTTCCTTGTTGAGACCCAGACTCTTTAAATTTTTATTAAAGGGATTGTCTGTGCTGACATTTAGCTAGCACCAGATGTTGGCTTTTAGTTACCAGTGTGGAGGTGGCATAGCTAATAAAGGCAAGGATAAGAAACTTGTGAGAAACTCACTGTCAGATGTGGCTTTGTGTACTGCAGCCTGCGTGATGTCTGTCGCTTCTTCATGGGCCAGAGTTCTACAAGAAAGCCTTTTTTCTTTCCTTCTTCTTTTTCTTCTATACTCTTGACTGGCCAAGTGTTTTCCAAGCACATGTCTTTTTCAGGTGACCTTGCTCTTTTGTTAGAGACTAGCTAATGAAGGGAGAGTGCAAAGAGAGCTCAGTGGCAGATTTGGGTTTTTTTTCTCTTATATTTTGGTATTTCTTCTGAACATAGCTTTCCTGTAGATCATACTTCTCCCCCTCAACCTCTTTTGGCCATACCCTCCCTCAGAAAATGTCAGCAAGCGATTGTTTCCTTTGCAGAGCTGCAATCCCCTAGACAGAGGCTTTTCCAGTTTTATGAATGCACCATTTGTTGCTGAGGGCACAACTGTTCGATATAACTGGCTGCATCCCACTCTGCTTGGGACCAGCATGCACTACAGCCAGGCTATGCATAAACCAGATTTTTGTATTAAATGGCACCATTTTGTCCACAGCAGCAGTCTGTCTGTCTTTTGTGTGCACGCGTGTGAGACTTGCAGTTTTCAGATGCAAAATACATAAAGAACAGCAGTTTTGCAGAAATACGTGTTACTCAGTGAGCGTACCGTGCTATTTTAAGGTTTATTTTTCTTAAGGAGTTCCTGACAAGTGATATTTCTTCATTATTTTGTGTAGGCGGGACGAGGCAAAAGCACATTTTGAAATATTTTATAAAATGGATGCATGGTATAATATTACAAATGTAGTTGTTTCGTTGAGGACATACTCAATTATAACTTAACTGAAAATATATGTAGCACTTTGTATGTGCTCATTTATGTTTTATTGTATGTCATCAACCACATCTCCATCCCCCCTCCTTCCATAAGTGCCACAGGGCTGGAGACTATGTAGGTATAACCACTTAAAGATGCACTGTGCTTTATATTTTTAATTATGTCTAGGAAATATCTGATGTCAAACCTGACACTTTTTCCTCACTACCTGCCCTGCTTATCCCCTTCTAAGGTCAGCACAATTTACTGTTTTCAGAGGGGCTGCTGTGCTGGGTCAGGATGTGTCGGGGAAAGCTGGAGAGGCTGCATGTCTTTAGTATTTCCCAGCCCAGGTTTCTGCAGTGCACACACATCTGCAACTTTTGGTTAACAGTTAAAATAATGCAACACCAGTTTTCTAGCAGACCGGGAGGTGCATGAGGAGTAGGCAGATGCACAGTTGGGGGTTAGTGGGTACCATGCTGGTTGCATGCCATTTCTCTGTCATTTCCCTCTCAGTCCTGAAAAGCTGCTTTTGGAAAGTGCCATCTCTATTCTTAGTTACGTATAGCAGGGATGCTGCATGAGGCTCTGGTCCCAGCAGCTGAATTGCATCTTAGGGTTTTAGTTCATGCTGCCTGACTCATTTGTCTCAATGCCAAGAGTTTCTCCTCAGAAGCATAGTGGGCTCCTTTCCCTATCTCTATTCTCTCATACCTGTTGAGTCCCCTCCAACAAATAAGAAATCTTCAAAGCAAGTCCACCAGTTTAGAAATTGCTCAGTCGTGCTTCAGTAAAAATACTTTTTGTGCTCCATCATCATTGTGTTTAAGAAATGGGGAAAATTGGAAACCTCTGATTTCCCCTCTTTAATGAAGGTGGTACTGATTGGAGATGAGGATTCCTGACACCACCCTCCTTTGGGTGCCTGAACGTGTCTGGGCATTGGTTAGGCTTGCCTGAAATGTCCCTAACTCGTCCACCAAAAAGAAAATATAATTAAAAAATACAGCTGTTGCAGCCTTTCCATGGAGGTTTCCACACACATCCCCGCCTCACCATGTTCCTTCATATATTCACTGCCCACATAATGTTACCCGCAGGATGAGGGTGGGAAGGGGAAGCTTGTTCTCTCTCATGTGACTGCAGCACAGTTAATAATTGTACCAGCCTTCAGGGGCTCGCGTGACCAAAGGGATTGATCAGATTCATAACCGGACAGAAGTTTTTCAGGCACATCTTTGTGCCTCAGCATCCCAGCAGATTCAGAGAAGGAACCAGATCTGCTTATGCTGAGATTGCTCGTTTGTTATGAGCTGGCTAGCATACAGCATGTAGAGACAAAGGCTACCCTGGCCTGAAAAGCCCCTAAAGAGAAGCAGTATAGTAAATACATCTGTAAATCCATGTTCAGGTTACAGACTGTGTGTGTCTCGTATGCTCTTGCTCACTTGCTCCATCTCCCTGCGTCCCCCCCCCCGCTGCCTTAAAAATGGGATGGCAAAATATTTTGAGAAAATGCATCAACTGCTAAACTGTTGATATGATTAAAAAAAAAAAGGAGTCTTCATTCAAGCATATGTTTCCAACACTTTAATCTTTTATGGACTGCATACTTGCTGTGGGAGTGGAAGGGGATGTTGCAGGCTTACTTTCAGTGTACTTGGAAGTCTTTCCCACAGCGTGAAAACTCCCCAGAAAATGTGAAACAACGGCCTGGAAACCAGGAAGTTTCTGATGCCTAGCACTTATAGCTCTGAGGGATTTGCTGTGCTCTGGAGGTCATGGAATCATCTTTCTTCTTTGTTGGCTTCTCCAAGTTTATTTTACACATGATGGAGGGGTATGTGTGTGCTGCTGAGCTCTTCAGGGTCCTCATTTTTGTAGCATGTTTTTGCCCCTGGTTCTTTTGTTACTGCGCTCCCACGATTAGTATGTCTGCTGCTTAAAATGGCTACTGAGCCACCATCAAGTTCTTGTCACTGGTTACTAACTGCTTAACCTCTGTCAAAAACCATCCAGCACAGCTTTGAGTTGATGCTTTTATTGCTTAACAGGTATATTTCTGATCTTTGGGCTATCCATTAACCCTGTGAATACTGTACACAGTGAAGACATAAATCTGCTGTGGTATGATGGTATGTCCTGGTGCTGTGATGGCTGCTGCTGCTCCTGCACTGTGCTCTGATTAGATTTGTGTGGCATGCAGTCTTCTGCGTATGTGGTTTGAGGGTTATTTTTTTTTTGCTTTGTTTTCCCACCCCCTTACCACTTTGTATAGTTTTGAGGGTTTCTTGAGGAGTTGCTAAATGTCAAAAAGCAGCAATGAAGGTGAGAAGTCTGGCACTTGAGGGCTGATGGTCCTGGTGAGTTGATCCCGTTCCTTCCAGTAAAGAAACTATGCATCCAGTTTCAGTCTGTGATGAACTCAGTGTTTTGTTTTCTGGCGTCTCCTTCCCGTGTGCCTATGTTTGTGCTGGAGTGTGATGGAGCATGGAAGGAGTCAGAGGAGAGAAGGGGCTGCAACTTGGCTTTGGCTGCCAAAAAAACAAAAACATCGAACAACCTCAACCACAAGGAGAGTTAACCGGAACATACCACAAAACAGGTTAGGCAGGACACTGAAGCCAGGTACGAACCTTCTCCTGTGCTTTAAGGCATCTTCAGTACACCCTCCTCCCTCTGCCCTTTCAGGATTTTCCCCCCTCCTCCCCGTTGTGAAATAGTCCTGTGCCGACTGGGTTAGAACGTGGGGCAGGCGGATGGGTTGCAGCGCTGGCTCGCCTGCTGCCAGCTGTTTCTTAAGAAATAGAGGTTGCACTTGTCCGTACCCGTCATCCCGTCGCAGAGGCAGCGCAGCATGTGCCTGTGTGTGTGCCTTCCTGCCCTCCCCAGGGTTGCCTGCTGAACAGTCCCAGCCGAAAAGTAGCGGGGGAGGAAGAGCAGCAAGGAGACAGGGAATGCTGGCGGGCGGAGCTTGGAGGGCTGATCCTCCATGTAGTTAATCATTACATGCGGCATAACCTGTTCCTGTTTTCTAGAGGTTTCACTGGCACCCGCAGCCAGAAGCATATGAGGAATATGTGACAGACTGCTTTCCGAGCAAGATGGTTTGTCTTGCAGCAGGAAGCCCAGCATCTAATACAAGACATCATTTCTTCTGTAACATCTTTATGCCTAATCGTTCAGTAAACATACCATATATAGTCCGATTCGTGCTTGCTCTAACACCCTGCTGCAAGGCAACTTTGCTAGTACCACACAGATTCCTTAGCTCCTGGTAACTGGCTGACAAGTAGGATGTTGCCAGACGTAACGTAAATATTTCACACAACTGGGGTTTTTTACACTCCTGCTTATAGTGCATAAAGCATGTATTTCTAAACATGACAGTCTTAAGTCTGGCACTTAAAAATGAAGAGGATTATACAAAAAAAGGTGCCTTATCAAAGGATGGATCAGGTGCCACCTGCACATATTTGTTGCAGAATAAAGATTCCACTCTTTCGATAAACATCATATGAATTTTGTATTTATGAATCAATGTTTGGTGGGCTTTTTTTTTCTTTCTTTTTTTCTCCTGTCTCCACTTTAAATGCCTGCTGCCTCCTAGGTGATGGATCCCAAGCTAGGACTGTCGTTCACTGAGAACTTTCTCTTTTCATTCTAGCGTTTTTTGTGAAATTTCTCCTCTTCCTCTTTCTCTGTGCCCTCCTTCTGTTTCCCCTGGACTGGTGGGGTACTAAGCATGGCAGAGGACATGAAGAGCAGCAGTGTGGCTGGATTCACAGCTTTCCTAATCAACTGTTACATATGGTTTGCCTTCAGGTTTTTTATTTGTTTGTTTTTAACATTGTCATATCACTTCAGTAACATTCTGCCTACTTCTGTGCTAGCAGAAGAGACTCAGAAGAAGGAGATGAAGCCTGCCTACCTACACCCTACAAGGCAGGGGTTTTTTTCCTTTTTGTGCTTTCTGCATCTTGCCCCGTTCATTGATGTGTGAGAAGACAGCACAGTGGTGTGTACCCTGCATAACCTTGCACAGAGCTTTCTGGCTGTCTGCTTGGTGATGGCTGTTAGTGCCTGAGTTCAGCAGTTTAGTGACTGGCAATGTCTCCTGTACCACTGAGGTGGTTGCTTAATCAGAGAGGGTGCCGGTTTGGATGCAGCCTGATACAGGTAGATTTTCCTATGCTGGCTTGCTCCTTAGTTAGGTAACACTTCCAGAGGGGGAGACTTTGCAGGGGGCAATGTTTGGGTGTTACATAAATGGACAGGACATGCATTTCTGGGACTTGTCTCTCATTGGCCTGGTCAGAGTGAATTATGTCTGACTGCTTGGCAGTTAATTGGACCATCCTTCCCATTTCCTAAGCTGATAAGCCCCTCACTGTCTGCCTCAATCAGGCTTCTTTGTTTGAGAAGTTACTAATGCCACAGAAGAACAGAATAACTACTTTCCTGTAACCAAGTGAGGTGCTCTGATCGATAAATCTATGAAGATTCACTGTATTTCTTCAGCAAAATCCTTTCACAAGGCTTACTTGTACCGTAACACCAGTAGCAGTTGGCAGGTACTGAAAAGTAGGTATAGCTGATGTATTTAGTACATACCTTGTCCCTTTTTGAAAGAATGATATTTGTGATAAAGTTATCCTGTGAACAGCTTTATTCTGGGAGATCCTAGTAGCTGTGTCGAGTACCATGGGGGTCTGTAGATGCCTGTCCATCAGGATTGGGTCTCAGAAATGGCTCTATTTTGCCACAAAACCTTCAGACGGGGACTGTCTTGATGTGTCTGGATGGTGCCTAGCTTAGAGTGGGTGTTGCCAGAAGGTGAGTAATAAATAGTGATTAATCGTCTCTGAGCTATGGATGTTTGTATGAAAAAGCACGTTGCTAAAGGCTTTGCTTCAACGAGATCATCAAAATTAACCACACAAGAGACAGTAGTGTAGCATCCCAGAGGCTTGATTTTTCTGTCTCTTGACTGGTTCGTTTTGACTTTTGTGGATTTACTAAATCTGATTGATGGAGAAGCATGGGTCCCTTTGTCTCTGAAATATCAGTAAATATCAATTAAATGATATCAGTATTACAGATTGCAAATGGGCTGAGTGATACAGAATCAGGGTGCACTAAAAGTAAACACCCTTTTGTTAGATTGCTCAGTAATCTTCTTAATGCAGAGGTGTGGTTAGGAACCTTACAGGTATGCATCCTTGTGTTTGTACCGTTGAGTCTTTGATACAAACGCATAGGAAAGATGCAAAGGTACCAATTCTTATGTTAATTATATCTTGAAGATGAAAAGTAATTTTGTTTTACAGGAGACGGTTTATCCTTTGCAGTCAAAATATAAGAAAAGAAATATAAGAGGAAATATAAGTAGAGATATGTAAAGAAATATAAGTAGAAAACCTAAAGCCATAGTGATTTTTAAAATAGTTTCCATTCTAAGTTTACATACTGATTTGAGCAATGCATTGCATCTATTTGATTGTGCAGTTATTTCTAAAACTTTCTGAAAAGAGGGATTCATCACAAAAATCTTCTGTCTCCCTCCATCCTTCAACTGTTTCTGGCAGCTTTCAGGACCCTAAGCACACAAAGCGGATATTGGAGGATTTGCTCCTTGTACAAAAATTGGAAGGACTGGGCCTCTTTCTTCTTAAAAAGTTTCCAAAGTAGGGTTTGTCTTGACTTAGTCGTAGAGGAATGTAAAGTATACAAAGAAAATAAATGCATATCACGTTGTGAGCTGACATCTGTAGGTACGCTCTGAGCTTGGGAAGGGACTACCTGTTTATATTTCATTGTACCTTGGAGTTAATGGTGTTGAGTCTTGTTATGTCTGTAGCGTCATGGGAGGATGATGAGAGGACGTAGTTGCTGTGGAGTTCAGGAGGCCGTTAGTGACCCCTCAAACGTTGTTACGTCCGAGAGACATAGGAACGGGTGAGCTGAACGTGGGGCCTGGTCCATAGGGTAGGATCTGCTGGAGGGGCTGTGGGAGGCAACTACCATCGGTGGCTGGATCGTGTCCATTCCTCACGAGGGCTTGCCTGCAGTCATCAGACCCCAGGCAGGTAGCCGGTGACTTCTCCTACTGTGACTTCTCATATTAGCGTTTTATTGCCTGACAACATTCAAGGTGATGGGCAGAGAATTTGCATTTGGATTTTAAAGTTTCTAGAAGAGTGTATGTGCTCTGTGTCTTGTCTGAACCTTACCCAGGCTGGTTCCAGACCAACCAACAGCCACGTACTCAAAGACCTTGCTGTCTACCATGGGATCAGTGAGCCTCAGGCTTTCTGAGTGGAGGTGACAAATGAGGGGGAGGAGGTGTCCATGTCTTTAAAAAAGAGTTGAAAAGGAAAAACTGGAAAGCAAGCAGCTACTGGCTGTGAAATTCTTGGAAAGAAAGATGCTGTGTATGTAGAGGTTACTGTGATCACACCCTGCCAGGCATTGGGCACACCGGTGTGGGTTGGGGGAGGCAGCGTGGGTAGGCCGCAGTGCAGTCCTGGCAACTGGGAATGGATGAGGAAGCAGGAGGCAACCCGCCTTCCTTCAGAGAGCCAGGAAAGCATCAGGGATGGAGTTTAGGAAGTGTTCAACCTCAAAATTAGGGCAACTTGAAGGTGAATTAACTGCTGGGCCTGTAATGATCTGCATGTTCACGTATGTATAGGGCCTTACGCACAGAAAGGTTTGGGATGAGTCTGGAAAGGGTCCATATTTAAGGAATGTAGTTCTTCTGGCTTCTGAGAGGTTTTTTGTGTAGACAGCATGGAAAATGATTACAAAAACAAGTATTGCAAGACACTTAGTGAGATGGGAAACTGGCAGTGCTAAGGCTGTGGCTCTTGTACTCGAGTGATTGTGAGAGAATGTCAGCCTTTTTCTGCTTTCTTTTCCCAAGCATTTTCTGACTTTTGAACTACCACTAGTGGAGTTTATCCAGTGGGCTTAAAGTCAGCAACCCCAAAAATGCATTGAAAATACCTCATGACTTTTGGAATGAGAGTCTGTGACAGCAACTGGACTCCAAGAAAAAGAGGTACTCTTAATGTTTGCTGCCAGTTCTGTCAGTGTCGTCTGAGATGTTACAGTGTCTGCTTTCACTGTTTTGGAGCAGGGGTGATTGGGACTGACCAGACCAGTTTTTAGGGAGCTTAGTCAGCTTCCTAATTTCCAGGTGTAGTGAGAGAGTCATCAGGGACAAAAATGGAGAGAGAATGTCAGTAAGTTCCTCTTCATGAAAGGAGATGGGCTGCCGGGAGGATTTCCAATTGGAGATCACTAGGCAGCTTTTATTATGGGCCCTGTTTTCTCTTGCATGTGGCTCTACTGAAGTTTAACCATTTGTGCTGAAACACTACGTCAGGTGTTTAGCTTCAGGCCACATTTGTTTTTGAAAGAAAAATAAGTAGTAAAAAAAATTCTTTGACCATTTCTGAGAGTGAACCTGAGGGAAAAGTGAGTTCAAGTTTTGAATCACTTTTCATATCTTCTCTTTTCTTATTGGAAAAAGAACAAAACCCACAACAAATGTAGAATCCCTACAAAGGGGGAGAAAGTCTGACCTGTTCTTCTAGTCCTCAAAGCTGTAATGCAGGGACATTGAGATTTGGGAAGGGTGAAGTGGGTGGGAGATTGCAGTTATAGCTATCAATTGAATAAGCTAGCTCTTATCATAGCTGATAATAGCTGGCAATGGCAATTTCTCCAGTGCATTCTGTTCTTAATGTCTGTTGCAATTTAGAGGTAAAAAGGACTGTGAATGACCCAATGAAAGCCAGGAATTATCATGTGTGTCTTACTCCAGACCAGAGTAAGTCAGTTCAGCTCTGTGAAGACTGAAGTTGGTAACCTAGTCCCACATCTTGAGGAAGTAATTTAGCAATCTTTTATACCTTTTTATTTGTCTGCCCTTTGAGGTGCAAAACACTCATGGGGAATACATGATTGTTCCTCTTGCACTGTGATGTACAGGTGTAGGTATAGAATTTCTGGTTGAGGGGTTTGCCGATGTAAGATGAAAATGCTATTCTCATGAATGTGCTTTACTCTGCAGACACTTCGGTTCCATATGGAGTAAGAGTAGCTTGAAAGTTGTCTGACAAGATTTGCACTCCTCACCAAACACCACTAGCCTCCTAAATAAAAACAAAGGCCCAGAAGTTCGTAAATACCTGTGCATGTGATGTAAACAAACTTCCTGATTCAGGGACCACTGTTGAAGCTAATGGGTCTGTCCCATAGAATGAGCCTATTAGTATCAGTTCATTAGCAAGACTGAGGCCTTGATTTGTAATGACCCCTTAAGTGTAACTTGCAATAGCCTGCTTACTGTATCTTACTGAACTGCTGTGGGTGCAAGAGGGAAACAGATTGAGCCTGGAATAATATTTACCTTCTCTTCTAGTCAGGAGTATCTGGAGCAAAAAAGAAATGTACCACACCTCTAGGATCTCCAGAGTTGGCTTTCCTGAGAAATGAAATACCCCGGATGTTGTATACACAGGGCAAAGGCATCTGCTGTATTTAAAAATATGCATATGAAAATGGAACTGGAAGTTACTGCAAAGCTGCATTTGCAGTTATCATAGCAAGGAAATTTTTAGAAACCAGACCTGAAAGACTTTACAACTGAGAGTTTCTCAGGATACTCCCTGTCATTTCTCATTTGCTTTGGTGAAGTATTAAAAGAACCCCTTATTTCTGTAGTTATAGTCAGCAATTAATAAATTACTTTCTGAGTTTGTTTTGATTATATGGAGTGTATATGTGTAATACATATTTTAATGTGCATTTAAAAACTGCTTTTTTGCCTGATTATGGAAGGGGAGACTGTGGAAAGAGAATTTTAAATTCTTTAACAAAATACTTGATTGAAGTAATTTATTCATGTTAAGCAACCCAGAGCAGTATTGAATAGCTCTATCCTTCTCTATTTTGAGGAACTCTTTAAAATGGAAGAAAAAACCCTTTTTTGTTTGTTTTCTAAGAGGGGGAAAAAATAATTTCAAAATGGGTTAAACAGTTTTGTGATTCTTATTCCATTCCTTGCAAACTTCCCCCCACCCCACTCCAAGCCCAAACGCTATTCCCTTCTGCACCTGCCCACAGAATTGTCATGCAACTAATTTTAGAGGTTTACACATTTGTTTTAAAAACACAGCAGTCTCCATCTCTGGTAATCCACCAGGTGGAAGCAGATGTGTACAATATCTGTACATGTATTTGTAAATCTGGGTTTGAGCAGAGGGTGTTTCTAAGAGGGCAGTGTGTGTGCAAAGGCAAGGGGACCCTTGGCAGTGTAATACCATCAGTAAAGCAAAAATTTGCAGTTAACCAGTAGCTGGATTCGTTGGTGGTTTTTGTTCATGTGGTGGGCTGGGTGACATTGTATTAGCCAATTCTTCTAATGTATGGTTGGATGTCAGTTGCCTTGCTGTTCTGAATTACAGTAGGGAGAAGGTACCAGGGAGGGCATGGGGAGAATAAGATAGGATGTGGTTTCTTAGAGGTGGATGCTCTTCTTGTGCTAACAGAAGTTTTGGTCTATTAGCCTCAAGCGTGCTTTTCTGACCTAGAAATTCGTTCATAGCTTACTGGTGTCTTCCTTCTGCCCATCTTCCCATTAACCATCTGCTATCCCTGTGCCTCTCTGCTCTTGCAAAATATGGCGTCTTTGAAGTTTGGGCAATATCCCTGTAGTGTTTGGCCCTCAAAATGATTTTGCTTTGAGCACATCTTTGTCTGGAACGCGCTAAAAGTGCTTAGATTTTGTTTGGTTAAGGGGTGGGTGGAAGGCCAGAGGGGAGTCCAAGAGGTGTCAAACAGAAAGCTTGAGGTAGCTCAAAGTGACCTCCTGAAAGCATCCCTTCTGGTCTGTGAGTCTGCTAAAGGCAGTCATTTGGAAAGGGGCTGCGCTATCCAGATTTACAGTGCCTCCTACGTTTCATATAACAGAAATGCTGTGGCTGTGTACTGCTGCAAGTTTTTGTTGTCCTCCTACAATTTTTGTTATTGTTTCTCTCTTGGTCTGTTGCACTAAAATTCATGTCACTGCCTGACAAACGATATTCCTAATAAGTTAAGGTTTACTTATAGAGCAAATCCTGGACAGTGAGACATGTTGAATATATATTGGCTTAAATGATTTCGTTACTGACTTGTACTCTTTGAGCTTTGAGTAGTTCTGAGCCTGTTACAGAAACAATCAGATTGCCCAAAAGTGAGGTGTTCCTTTCCAGCTATACCAGTGAAGATATTTGCATTTTAAGTCCAGAGTTGCAA